AACAAGGGCAACAAGAACAACAAGAACAACAAGAACAACAAGAACAACAAGAGCAACAAGAACAACAAGAACAACAACCACAACAACCACAGCAAAAGCAACAAGAACAACAAGAACAACAAGAACGACAAGAACGACAAGAACAACAAGAGCGACAACAAGAACAACAACAACAACAACAACAACAACAACAACAACAACAACAACAACAACAACAACAACAACAACAACAACAACAACAACAACAACAACAACAACAACAACAACAACAACAACAACAACCACAACAACCACAACAACCACAACAACAACAACAACCACAACAACAACAACAACCACCACGACCACCACAACCACCACAACCACAACCACAACCACAACCACCACCACCACCACAACCACAACCACAACCATCACCACAACCACAACCACAACCACAACCACAACCACAACCGCAACCACCACCACGACAGCAGCAGCAGCAGCAGCAGCAGAAGCATAAGCAGCAGCAGCAGCAGCAGCAACAACAACCACAAGAAAAAGGAGACAAAGCACAACCAATGGAAGGAAAACCTTCAACAGATCCCCCCAACAACAACAAAAATCAAAACAAAAAAGAAGGAAAAGCGCAGCAAAAAATCCTTGGGGTCTCCTGAATGATCTTCTCCTGGACCTGGATGTCGCTGTCGTTCTTCCACTCCGCGAAGGCCCTCAGCATGGCCTCCACGCCGAGCTCCGAGGCTTCGAAGCCGAAGTGTGGCAGGACCTTCATCTGCTCGCGCCGCACCAAACGCATGAAACCCACCTCAGCCCAAACTGAACATGTATTATCTTTTTAGCGGCCAAAATCTGGTGGGAACCATCAGAAGAGGAAAAAAGAACGATCCTGATTCGAATCGACCTCCCTTTGAGTATAGGGGTGGGACCAAAAACTTGCGGGAACCCGCATCAGAAAGAAACAAATTTACAAACCCGATCCTGATTCCAATTTGGATCCTACTTCTTTTCTTCTTTTCGACTCCCTTTCTTTCGCGTGAACTTCTGAATGCCGGTTTTTTCTATGTTCGACTCTCCCCTCTTCTGCGCGAAAAAAATAAATATGGTTATGCCGTTCCTTTCTTGTTGGCTGAAGGCATCCCGAGCCACCCGGTAGCCCTTGCTCTTGCCGCTCTCCAGGCGGTGCGCGTCCGCCAGCTCCCGCAGATCCCGCTGAAAGGTCGGGGCCTCGAAGCGCTCCAACAGCGCGCGCTGCAGCGCCAGGGCCTCCGTCTTAGTGAACTCCTCACGCCCAGCTCGGTCCGAAAAAGGGCCGGCACCCACCCATACGAAACCCCATGGTGAGCCCGGAATGTAGAGAATTGCAAAGATGGCCGCAATAATGTTCCCGGGACTGTCCCGTACTAAGCTTTATGTACCCGGGTTTTCATTATGGCTCACCTGAAGCCCAAAGAACATAGGCATGAACAAGTTGAATCAAATTCAACCGGAAGTTTGGGGCAACCTCATTTTTAAGTTGCTGTTTTGACAAATACAAAAGGGATATCCGTTCTTGGATGTTCAACCTGTATAGTCTGGGTATAACCAAGGCGTGCCAACTTTATAACCCCAGGTACCCCAGTTGGGGCAGTAACCCACGAAACCCACCAACCATATTTTTGGGGCGGTAACTCATTTTTGAGTTGGTATTTTGAAGGTCTAGGTTCGTTCTTGGATTTCCTTATCTGCGTAAGAAGGGTACAAGCATGGTAAGCCACCTAACCCCATCATCACCAAACAGCTACGGGCAGTGTCCAAATTTGTTTACTGGGGGATGACCAAACTTTCCAACAGCAACTGGATATCTGAAATGGCCTTTCTGGATGTTCCTTGCCTACGTCGACAAAAGTCGGGTAGAGCCAAAAACCCCCAGGAAACTCCAGGCAAATAACCTTGGTTGTAACCTACTTGCTAAGTAGGTTGGACATCCAAGAATGCCAGTGGTTAGCCACCTGGGTTATAGGGTTATACTCCACCAATAAGAAGTTGTTTACTCCACATTCACGGGTGACGTAACTAAGTGGATTGCAATGAAGTAGGGGGACTAAAAACACAACTCCCCCGGCTGAAGTTCCAATACTCCTCTTTGGGTTCGGCCCGCTAACCGATGTTTTGGGGTCTCAAAACCTGGCTGTGGGGCCCCAAATCACATGCCCCCAGTCCTCCAGGGTGAAGAGCTCCCAGCCTGAGTCTGCAGAGGACGAGGAGACATCATTGCTGTAGGCTGTGTGCGTCGTCTTCTCACTGCCTGCGGAACTGCGCGGGGACATCCCGCTGTCGGCACTGGGGGACATACATCCCGGAGGATCCAAGGGCTTAGGCAGGCCCCTGCGGTTGATCGGCAACTCCAACGTCATGCAGAGATCCGGCGCACCGCGCTAGGCGCGACCGACGCACCGCCCGAGAAGTCGACAAAAATTATCCAGGCCCTGAGCCAAAGGCTGTTGGCTTAGGACGTCACAGGGAGCCTTTGGCCAAAGTCATGAAACTAATACCCCCCCTGAACCCCCCACCTCCCTCACCTGAAACCAGCAAAAGAGCTACTAGACCACTACTAAGGCCTTAGTAGCGCTCGATTGTCGCTTGGCACTCGCTGGTCTTCCCGGAGATAAAATGTTGCAACTTCAACTCGCAAGCATGAAGTCTAGGTGAAACAATGATTCTCGCAAATCGAGGGCTCCACACAAGCAACCTTGGAGTTCCTCTAGGTTCGTTGTTGGTTCCTTTCCTTCAGGGGAAGTGGGTCACCTTTAGTGGACTGTGGCAAGTCCGACCAAATTCGACTCAAAACCCCAACAAAGTCTAAGGAACCCTATGCCAGCCTTCAACTCGCCCCCTTCTTGGAGCCTGCAGTTTCAGTCCCAGTTACCAGGGTTCAATCCAAACCAGCGTCTTTGATGGGATACTTCAACATGTTTGCTTGGTTCTTAGTCCCGAAAGACCCCCATGAAGCCCCCCACAAAAACTGCCCTTGAACAAAATTGCCCCTACCTTAAAACCCAACCAGCAACTTAAACCCTCAAAAGTAGGTTAAACATCCAAGCAAGCTACAGCCCACCTTAGAACCTCACACAAATCCCCTGACGCCGGACGAATCCGCGGACGCTCGCTCGCCGGGAATTCGTTCGCTCAAACGCCGCGCGAGCGGCCACTGAAGACTTTACCGCCGTCCGGGCGCTTCTACTTGTGGCTCATGTCAGATGTGGTCGAGCTCGTGGGCCATGTTGCCCACCTGACTTGAACAATGACAGTTACTGCAAGCTGGCGAAGCAAAAATGCGCCGGCGCGTTGCCACTAGAAAGCCGAGAAGCGCCTCGAAAATGACAAACTCAACAATGGTTGAGTTTTCTCTCCTCTGGACGCACCTCAATTTGCGCGGCCTTAATGTCAAAGTTGGTTCCGATAAACGTTTTTTCCCCGTGCCGCCTACAGCATAGTCGCCGGTCGACATTTAACAAAAAAGGACCAGGTACTCCTCTCAACTAAACGTTCAATTTTCCTTCATGTCTGTCATGCGCACGTGCAGCCATGTACAACACGAGGGCACCAAAAAAACCCAAGCGTTAGTGCGGAGCCTGTGATCATACCCCGCCACCAGCTGCACAAAAATATGCAAATGCGCATAAGGGCCAGCTGCGCAAGGGTTTTCAAAGCACGCAATGTATCGCTGGGCTTCCTTGATAACACATGGCCACTGCTTTTGAGTTCCAAGCTTTTGCAAACAAGGCTACAGGTTTGCTGGAGATGAACCATCCTCCAATGCCCACAGCGATCCCCTCTGCGCACGCGTCTGCTGCAGCTTTGCAGACCAGCAAAGGTTTGTTTTGGGCATCACCTATTTGGTCAGCCAAGTGGATCTGCTAGGATGTGTATGAATTTCCCGATTCACAACATGCCCTAAACACAAGGGAAAAGAAACCCTAAGCGTTAAGGCATGTTGCACTGCTCCAGCTTGAACCCAAACATGAAACCCCAAAAGAACAAAGCTCATCCGAAGCGGCCGCGGTTCTTTTTACCGGGATTGCTGAAAGTAGCACTGCTTCCAGGGCACTGGTGCGCCTGGAACAGGAGGCACATTGACCCCCCCTTCAGTGTTTCAGGCAACCCCGGTATAAGCGAGCCCGCTGGGCCGCTGCCACCAGAAAGCCGAGAAACGGCCCCCAAAATGGCACACTCTGTAATGGTAGAGCTTCCCTTGAAAGGCGAAGAGTAGAAGGCCATGCTCTTCAGGGCGGACTTGCACCTGTTTGTGTGCGGCTTTAAAGTCAATGCTGGCGCCTATGAAGGCGCCTGGAGTGCCAGGTCCGATGCCATTGGCAAGCTCAGGCTGGCAGATGGCATCTGGTATTCACTTGGCAAACGGTGCTGTCCAAGACAAGGCGCGGCTCTTTCCCTTCTGCAAAAACGACATTTAACTTGCCTACGGCAATGCCTAAGGGCCATTTTTCCCGAGCGTCGGCTGTGCTAAGGCTGGTTTCAACAAGCCAGTTGTTGAGCCGTGTCAGCCTTGCCACCCAGCCTTCAATGGCCGGCCAAAAAGCCAGACTCCGCGCTCCGCCGGATCTGGAAATTTGTGAGGGCAACTGGAAGATGGCCGAAGACAAGCCAGAAACCGTGCAAGGCTTGCTGCGCAAGGAAACGGCAGGAGGGCCATGTCTGGGTCACCCCAAGATTTGACCAGGGCCTGCAGCAGGTGGAGTCGGTATGGCTGTCCTGCCTCGGGGCTCATGTCTGAGGGCAGGCAATTTTAGAGCAGTGTTTGCTAGAGTTGCCACTTCCAGGCTTTCGGACGGCGAGAGGGGGCAGTCCGGAGAACCGCTTTTGATGTGCGCCAGGATTCGTGGCACCAGTTTGCGCTCATGCATCCAATGCAGCCAGGGCAGTCAAATTGCATCTTGGGCAGAGCACTTGCCACCCAAGCTCACATCCGAACGCGTGTCGGACACCACGCCCCGCCTTCTGAGCCTTGTGCACGAGGGCCTGAAGCCCGGGCAGTCCCTGAAGTGGGTGCCCTGGCAGTATCGCCTTTCGCCTTTCATCGCGGCAGTACCAGGAACGCATGGAAGCAAAGTCGGCCCGAGCAGTGCGCTCAGAGTTACAGCTCCTGAGTCAGTGGCTCACCCGCATCCAGACCGTGTTTCGCAATGCCGTGGCCCAACACCCGCTGCAAGCGCCAGGGGCTGCTTGCATGGAGACTCGGAGCTGGCGGCCGGTCGGGAGGCTCTGAGCGCAGGCTGAGCCGATGGCACTCGGCCAGGGCTTTCCTAAGGCGCCTGCTGCCACACCCTGAAAGGCTGCAAGTCTGCAATGTTGGGAAAGGCGAAGGCGAAGTCAGAAGGGCAGTCAAAACCTCTGGCCAAAACAAGGTGCTGCAGGCCCTCAGGACCCGGACGTCCTGTAGCCGATCGCGATCCATGTGCATTAGCAATGCATGCTTGGAGGGCTTGTTTGAGAGGAAAAAGGATAGCTGCGAAATGTGTACAGTCAGTGCGGATGGCAGGCTCTCTCTCTTTAGAGGGGGTTTCCCAAATGGCTTATATTCTACCTGAGAGGCTCCCAGCACTCGTCCGTCCAGCATTTGACCTCGTCCTGCGAAGGATTCGAAGTCTAAAACGCTGCGTGGAGGCGTGAGGCTGCAAAATAATGACCCCTAGATATGCTTGCAATTTGGCTCCAGGTTGCATTTCAAGCGAGCCAACCTTTGCAGGGCTAAGAAAAACAAAAAAAAGAAAACAAGGGGTCCCAAAAAAAGGGGTCCCCGAAAAAAAGGGAAAAGGGGTTTCCTTTGGCAAAGCTTGACATCGCTTGAAATGCAACCTGGAGCCAAATTGCAGCGCATATCTAGGGGTCTCTATTTTGCAGCCTCACGCCTGCACGCAGCGTTTTAGACTTCGAATCCTTCGCAGGACGAGGTCAAATGCTGGACGGACGAGTGCAGGGAGCCTCTCAGGTAGAATAGAATCCATTTGGGAAACGCCCTCTAAAGATGGAAAAAGATAGAATGCCTCCCGGCTTTTCCAGCCACCATCCCTGCTCCGGCAATCGGAGCCTAATTTCCTTCAACATGTCGATGATAAACATGTTACAGGCTTGGCAACCCCTGGTGCGCCACCCATGCCGGCCGCGCCTTCCCGTCATTGAAGCCGCGCCAAGCCGCTGAACCCCCACAGTCTCCGGGCTCCTTATATGTGCTATATGTGCTATATCTTACACGCCAAGCCGCGGAACCTCCACTCTCCCCCGGGTCCTTGCTATATGTGCTATATGTGCTATATCTTACACGCCAAGCCGCTGAACCCCCACTCTCCCCCAGTTCCTTGCTATATGTACTATATGTGCTATATATTCTGTACGCGCGAAATCTGTAGTATATGTGCTATATAGGGCCATATAGCACATATAGCACATATAGCAAGGAACCCGGGGAGAGTGGATGTTCAGTGGCTTGCCTTGTGAGAAATAGCACATATAGCACATATAGCAAGGAACCCGGGGAGAGTGGATGTTCAGTGGCTTGCCTTGTGAGATATAGCACATATAGCACGTATAGCAAGGACGCGGGGGACTGTGAGGGTTCGGCGGGTTGGCGCTCCGTACGCGCCGCATTTTGCATGGTTTTTGCATGGTTTTTGCATGACATGCGGAACAGCTTGCTTTTTTGCATGACATGTGGAACAGCTTGTTTTTTGCATGACATGACATGTGGAACAGCTTGTTTTTTTGCATGACACGTGGAACAGCTTGTTTTTTGCATGATTTTGAACCTGTCATTTTGACATGTTTTTCGCACGGTTTTGCATGTCATGTGCATGTGGTTCAACCCCAAAGTGCCCCCCCTCCCCTGTTTTTTTCCTGTCAGGCTGCCGTAGGTCGGACATCCTGGAGAACTTCGCAGGCGGGGCGGTGCCGAGCGGGCACCTAACTAAATGTGCCGAGCAGGCACAGTGCCGAGCAGGCACTTAACTAAACGTGCCGAGCAGGCACAGTGCCGAGCAGGCACAGTGCCGAGCAGGCACTTAACTAAACGCGCCGAGCAGGCACTTAAGTAGACGTGCCGAGCAGGCACTTGTAGGTAGTGCCGAGCAGGCACAGCGCCAAGCAGGCGCAGGCGTTGGCCACTGTGAAAGTGGCGGCCGCTGTACAAGTGGCATGGAGGCCACTGTTCAAGTGGCAGGCCACTGCGCAAGTGGAGGGGGCCACTGTGAAAGTGGCAGGCCACTGTTCAAGTGGCGTGCGCTGGGTAGCCAAGCGGGCACTTTTGACGCCGCGCAGGCGCAGCACGTAGTACTGGCTCGCCCAACCTCGTTTGATGGCTCGCCCAATGAGTACGGGTTCGCCCAACCTCGTTTGATGGCTTGCCCAATGAGTACGGGTTCGCCCAATGAGTACGGGCTCGCCCAACGGCCCCTTAGTACTGGCTCGCCCAACCTCGTTTGATGGCTC